CTGGGTGTCAAAGCATCCAGCAGGATTTGCATGTCTGGGAATGTGCCAAGATTTGCCCTAATCTGACTTTCTAAAGTGAAAGCTGAGCTTTCGCTTTCATTTCAAAAATAATCTGTTTTGAGAGTCAAGGCCGGCCAAAGTACATTTTGTTTCACTGGTGCAAAAAGAGCACAAATATCTGAGCTGGAGGGAGTTCTTCTGCGGTCAAGGGATGGGACTTTGGAATCTTGCTCAGCCCAGGCACCAAGGCTCTGTGCCCTGGAAGAGAAAAGCTCTGATCCTCAAAGTCCCAGCCGCCTGCTGGATCCCTGACATAACATTCAGGCTTTGTTGCACATTTTATGACTAGGATCTCGTCCACACTTCCACTTACGCCATGCCTAGAAAGCTTGGATCCAAGTGGTTTATCCCTTGCACCGCTTCTTTCCGAGCTAAAACTTGTTATTTAGTGATAGATCAGAACAAGTGACAATTTGGGGGGGAAGCTTGAGTTGCCGTTTTCTCCAGGGAGGAGGCAGCGGGACAAGAGAAAGTGTGGATAAGCCCTAAGCCTGGAGTAAAGACATCTTTAACTGGAGGCAACCATAGAAGAGAGAGAGAGAAAGATGTGAGCATGCCATGGGAAAATTTTGCTTTCTTCAAAGCCCTGTCCAGATGTTCTCAGGATGCCTTGTAGAAAGGGGGGGGACCAGGCCATGCCTGCTCATGATTATTAGCCCAGGCCTTACCCCAGAAGTAGCCAAAAAGCTGAGCTCCAGCTGTCCTTGTATTATACTCCTAACACTCCTCACCATTAGCCATGCTGGCTGGGGCTGATGTCCCAATCTGGAGGGTCCCGCATTAGCTACCCCTCCCCTACCTCATAGGCAAGAACTTTCCAAACTTCTCATGTTGGTGACACACTTTTTAGACAGGCATCATTTCATGACACAGTAATTTAATTTTCCTAGCAAACCAGAGACTGAACTTATCCCTTTCCAGCCCTGGAGGAGTGCAGGGAATATTCGCGCGACACATGCAGCTGACATACTAGTGTCTCAACACACAGCTTGGAAAGCTCTGGCCTACAGTTTGTGAGCATGTGCAGTCTGCAAGGTCTTAGGCTCTTTAAATTTTATTGAGGCGCTTCCTCTGAACATATGTATCCCACTTCCGAGTACACACATGTTCTGAGAAATGTCTGAACAGTGCTGTTGACTGCCCCGGCCCTCAAATACAATCATATGCTCCTTTCTCCAAGATGTGTTGTGTGCAACATTATTTTTTATACCTTTACATAGCACTCAGTAGCTGTATATGAGGATTCCTCAAGTGCTTTGAGAGGGGAAAACTGCGTTGATCGACCTTTGGAACTCACTGCCACCCATAATAGGATTGCCCAGTACAGTGGTACCTCCGGTTACATACGCTTCAGGTTACAGACTCCGCTAACCCAGAAATAGTGCTTCAGGTTAAGAACTTTGCTTCAGAATGAGAACAGAAATCGTGCTCCGGCGGTGTGGCGGCAGCAGGAGGCCCCATTTGCTAAGGTGGTACTTCAGGTTAAGAACAGTTTCAGGTTAAGTACGAACCTCCGGGACGAATTAAGTACTTAACCTGAGGTACCACTGTAGTGTAACTGAGTTTCAGAAAGGATGACACAGACTCCTGGAAAGGCTCAGAATACCATTAAAAATATCTCAGGGACTCCATCATAATGCTTAAGCCTTCGGATACTGCTAACAAATATATAGAATCCAGAAGTCCAGTTACTCTTCTGAAAGGGACTTGCTTAGCAATCCTATGCATGTTTGCTTGGAAATAAATCCTACAGAGTCCAGTAGAGTTTACTCTAAAGTAAGCATGCATAAATGCAAAGTCAGTGTGCAGCCTACAGAATATACGCATAGCAATCGCTTTGACTGGCTGATCAATTGTTTTCACTGACAGCAGTTGAAACACTGCAATATTGTTCTCTCATGGGAAACATTGCTTGTGGTTACTATGAATGAGGTGGATTTATGAATTAAGGCTGACTGAGTTCCCAAGTGTGCTGAACTGACAGATGCCACTGCAAATGCCTGAAAAGCTATATCTGTATACTGTTATATAACAGGAAAAGCTGTGAACGGTGGAAAATAATAATCCTGTAATGACTCACCAAATCTTGCCCAATTGCACATTTGGCAATTTTCTAAGGAATTAACGGGATGGATATCATGTTTTCAAAAAGTTTTTGTTTAGTAAAAAGCTCCAAGAAGCCTGAGAAAATAGCCCAACATTCTACAAATACATTAATACCTTTTAGCAAAATGAAAGGCCTGTTTACAAAAGGTGTCAATGGAACAGCTGCCTTGGGGGCAAATGAGTGTCTGTGCTTGTCACAATTCCAATATGGATTAGGATTAATAACCGGCTTCTCTCCAACCCAGCCAGGTTGCAGATCAGATATTTACCTTATAAGCACTCCTCACCTGAACCGTATCTGAACTATCTGTACTTGGATCACTTGGCATAGTTCTGGCCTTGCTCTTTTAAAGAAATATATATATTGTTTCTGGATCTCTGCCCAAACAGTAATGCTTCAAAAACAAATTTTGACATGGCAGGATGGCATTTCCATCAAACACAAGAAGTACAAAGTAATTCCAGGGATAGTTTTTCAGCTTGGCAAACTGGGGCTGCAGCTTCCTGAAAGAAAACCCAGAACCAGAGTCCACTCTTTCTCCACTCCCAACACCCATATATAGTCATCAATCAATTAGAGGTGCATGTTGTCTCCTCTGTCTAAAAAGAGAGATGGAAGCAGTTCCTTCCAGACTCATTAAAAATGGGAAGACAGGGAAGGAGGGAGAAGGAAAGAGAAAACTCTTCCAAATGGATTAAGAATGGCAAACCAAGTGAGGATGGTTACACCAGGTATGGGGAACTTTCTGGCCCTCCAGATGTTGCTGAACAACAACGGCCATTGTCCCTAGTCATTGGTTGTGCTTGCTGATGGGAGTTGTAGTTCAGCAACATCTGGAGGGCCAAAGGTTCCCTACACCTGAAAGAAGGTGAGAGACCTTTCTGTTGTATGTATTGACCGGATGCAAAAGAGGACAGGACTCCTACATAGTTGTGTAGAGGAGGGAATTTTCAACCCTACTGCTAAAGGTACAAGAGCTCTGGTCTTTAAAAAGAATCTGGCCACCCTGAATACAAACTGCAAAGGAGGAGGATGGGAAGGAAACCAGAAGTAGTTGGCTCTGTCTATTGCTACCTTTGGTTCCACCTACAATTAGCTGTCCTGCTCCCCACTCCACGAGCTCCAACTAGCACCAGTCACTATTGGCTGAACTTTTTACAGATCCATTCAACTTACATTTTCAATATGGCGTACTGGTTCTACGTCAATGAAATCAGACGTTGCTAGGACTTCCTTAGAGGGAAATGGGTAGCTTATTGCCACCACCGTTATGACCCTCATGAGAACCAACCCATTGTTTTCCAGTTGCCATATGTCCTCTTTTTCCAGGACATGTCCTCTTTTTCATGGGTAGAGCGATCCATAATTGAAAGTAGAAGTCGGCAAATGTGCCCTCTTTTTTGCTTTTCAAAACATGGCAACCCTACATCAGAGGACTTCCAGTTGCTGTTTCAGGAGTAAAGTAACAGTATTCTCCCATGTGACCCACAAGCGAAATCAGCTCTTGGCACTGATGCAACAGAGTAAAAAGCCAGTCAGTTCTTTGTCTTTTGAGCTTTTTTCTTCTTCTTCAACACTTGAAATGCTTTGGGACCAATCTCAATATTAAATTATCCACTTTTTCCACTGTGTGTTCCAGTAATAATAGGTGTTTATTTTGCTGAATTGTTTAAAATAACTATAGCACAAGGTAGGGTTCATTTCTAAAAGCTGACGGGGCTGCTAACAAGCATACCAAGCGCTCATTATCTCTGCTGTCCAAAATGCAAGAGCTTTAAAAGCCTGCTCAGCTTCCAGGAACTTTCTGCCAAATCCAGCCTTCAGTTAATTGACCTCAGGAACTTTTTTTCAGTGGGTTATGGGGTTCATTTGGAGCAGCACACAGGACTGAAACCTAAACTGCTTCTTTTAAGCTAACAAACCACATCGGGCTTGGCTGGACACATGTGAACCTGAACCTTGCCTAACCAAACATGATCAAATGGGGTTTAGCTGGTTCCAGCAGTAGAGTAGATGAATTAACATGGGCTGGATGTGATGGACATTTCTGCAGAGTCTTAAGAGCAACAGTCAGTGTTTGTGCTTATTTTCTAAAGTCCCCAAGCTTTCCATTCATCCTGGCCTCCTTTAATCCCCCCAGCTGCAATAAAGATGTTCTTGGTCATTTTATTAGGAACACAGGAAGTTGTCTTACAGTGAGTCAGGCCAATGGTCCATCCAGCTCAGTATTGTTTACACTCATAGAATCATAGAATCATAGAGTTGGAAGAGACCACAAGGGCCATCGAGTCCAACCCCCTGCCAAGCAGGAAACACCATCAGAGCACTCCTGACATATGGTTGTCAAGCCTCTGCTTAAAGACCTCCAAAGAAGGAGACTCCACCACACTCCTTGGCAGCAAATTCCACTGTCAAACAGCTCTTACTGTCAGGAAGTTCTTCCTAATGTTTAGGTGGAATCTTCTTTCTTGTAGTTTGGATCCATTGCTCCGTGTCCGCTTCTCTGGAGCAGCAGAAAACAACCTTTCTCCCTCCTCTATGTGACATCCTTTTATATATTTGCACATGGCTATCATATCACCCCTTAACCTCCTCTTCTCCAGGCTAAACATGCCCAGCTCCCTTAGCCGTTCCTCATAAGGCATCGTTTCCAGGCCTTTGACCATTTTGGTTGCCCTCCTCTGGACACGTTCCAGTTTGTCAGTGTCCTTCTTGAACTGTGGTGCCCAGAACTGGACACAGTACTCCAGGTGAGGTCTGACCAGAGCAGAATACAGTGGCACTGACAGTGGGACTCTCAGTTTTCAAACAAGGTGACATTCTCAGACCTACCGGGAGATGCAGGGGATCAAACCTAGAACCTTCTGCGTGGAAAGCAGATGCCCTACCACTGAGCTATGGCCCTTTGTTGCTTCAAGGACTCAACACACCTGCTAAAACTAGTTAACCATTTTTAAACTCACAAGAGTGTTTACAGCCCATCTTTCAACATGCCTGCCCATCTTTCAACATTTTCATCTTATGGGCTGTGGCCCTGAATGCAGGAGGCTGTAAGTTCAGCTGCTGGCGTCTTCAGTTAGGGCTTGGAAACGCTCCCATCAGAAACCCTAGAAAGCTCCAGCCAGTCAGTGTAGACAATACTGAGCTAAATGGACCAATAGTATCACTTGGTATAAGGCAAGTCATTTCTGCCCCTAAGTTTGGCTGTAAAACTATAGGGGAGTCAGTTGGGCACAGGAAATATTTTCAGGGGGTACTTGTCAGGTGTGGAAAGGCTTAAGCCTCCTCCATGGCAGATGTCTCTGTCCACATCTTGTCAGAAGTACAACTGGGTCCATTATTTTCACTCTGCTCCCCTGCAGTACTTAAATCTTCTCCAGCTTTTGGTATCAGATCTGCACTTTAAAAATAAAATAAAATTCAGCAGCAGCACTCAGCAGGAAGCGTTGTGGCTGCAAGGCAGCAGGCAGCACCTCTTGTAAGTTGCTAAGCTATTGCTTGGGAGACCAGGTGGTTGAAATATCTCTTGGATCCAGTGGCTCAATTGTAACAGTAAACACAGAGACGCAACTCCAAGCTGGTCCCTAGAGATTGCAATAATGCTTCCACACACATACTAGTTAACCACTAAACCTCAGCCACTGACATTGAATCTGCCACTTTCCACAGCCATTTGACATCCTACTGGTGCTACAACCACAACTCACTCTCCTGGATATGCCTACCTGGATGTGGTAGACTCCCCCCACCCTGTTGGAGTCAGAGAGGTGCCATCTTATATTTCCAAAAAATACAATTCCGGGTGTCAGTTAGAGGTCAGTGACTGGCTGCTGCACTGCTGGAATGGAGGAACTGAATCAACTGGTGGCAGTGAGGGCCACTAGTGAGGCAAGGGGAAGCAGGTGGCAGGATCCACAGGGGCAGCAGATTCCAAGGAATGTATCCCTCACTGTAGCATTCTCTTTGGAGGCCAATCTGCCTCCTCCCCCATTCCACTTCTACAGTGTCTTCTTGATGAATAGAAGGCACTGTGAATCTCTCCCTCTCCTGCTCCTGATGTAGATCTTTATTGCCCCCTTGTTCACTCACCCCTTCGTCTCTGGCTGGGGGTGGCACCATTTTGTGGTTCACCTCAAGTCCCAAGAAGTCTTTGCCTAGCCCTGGTGGCCCTACAGTAAATGCCTGTTCTGGTGGCCCTTGCCTGAACACATGTGCCCTGTATGCTGTCCAAGGATGCTGGGCCTGACAAAAGCACTGTATTTATTTATAAGAGTTATTCATAGCCCTCTTTTCAGCTCTCTGAAGGGCCTCCATGACTGCTTCCATTGCCCACTGGATCACTCATCGCATCCCAGCTTATCCCACTTAGCTAAGGAAGCCAGGAGTTATTCTCTGACTCATCTCATCATAGTTTCCTCATGGTTTTGTAGTAAGCCAGGAACAAAGGGTGTATAGCTGCTGGGCTTAGGGAAGCAGTTATACTGAAGTGAGGAGCTCAAATGTACATTGTCCTGACTTGGCTTAACTTCTGATGGTCAAATTTGAGAAGCTCTAATTCTAAATAATTCACATACTTTTTCTTGACTTGGCTTGACTTCTGATGGTCAAATTTGAGAAGTTCTCATTCTAAATAATTCACATCTTTCTACCGATGCCAAAACCCATAGTGAAAACATATTAAGAGTATGGCTAGTAAATGTTTCCAGGAGAAAGTTTCCATCGGCTTTTGATGCAGATGTAATAAAGTTTAGATTCACTCCATCCATGCAAAACCAAATAAACGTAGATACACCTAATGCAGTGCCTTTGATAGCATGACTGAGCTGAAAAAGAAACTGTCTGTTTGTCCAAGAAAATATAATGTTTCTTGTCACGATACCAAGCCCTGGTAAATAGGTCAAAACACACACTGATGATTTCACATCTATGATGTGCTAAACAATCTCAGGCTATATGATCTTTGGCAAAATGAATGCCAAGAAGACCTGCCAAACTAAAATAAGTGAATTAAATTTTAAAATCTTGAAACAAAAAGCTTTATTATATATATATATATATATATATATATATATATATATATACACAGTCTGGCAAAAAACCAAGACTAAAAAGAACAGACCATGTACCCTATTAAGGAATGTGGGAATTATAAAAACAGAAGAAGACAGATCAAAAACACATTTGGTTTTTGCATCATGGAAAAATGATTTCACTCGGCATTTTGCCCTGTGTGTGAGTGTGTATGCTTTAAATCTTGTGCCTTGTTGGAAAAGCACAGACATTGTATGAATCATGGACCCATCTGCAGGGGTTCTGGACTATTGAAGGACACAAAAGGATGGAGACCTCAAAGAAACATCAAAGGAGTTACAATTTAAACTAATCAACAGAAACTAGTAGTCCTGGAGAGGGTGAAAGACACAGGCGGAGGAAACATAGGAAAATGACAGGCATATTCCCCCTTCCCCAGAAGATGAGTCTATTTATTTGTTTTTGTGTCCATAGAGAGGTATGTTTGTGTGATTTCCCCAAAAACCAACACAACAGCGCAAAATTCAGACTTAGCAACTCATCAGAGTCATTGTGTTTGTTTACCTGTGTCCTTGGTTACCAGATGCCAGGCTGTACTCTCACTGCTATGGCAGGAATGATGATTCATGAAACGGTTAATTTCCCCATTCAGAGCACGAGCCTGGATCTAATATAGAACATGCAAACAAATCACCCCAAATTCTATGCTGGGTTACACCACACACAACACAGGAAGCAGCAACAGATCTTTGAGCCATCCTGTGTTACTGTAACTGTAATCATTCAATGCGTTTCTCATTCATCAGCCGAGCAACCCTGTCAGAGAGGGTAAAGTTACTCCCACTTGACAGATACAGTCGACTGTGCAGTATGTTCTGTTTTGTTTTCAGTTCAGGGGCTTTTTAAATAGTTGAATGGAGAGGGTCTTCTGAATCAGAAAGATAACAGAAACCTGACTGTTGCTATTTTGGAAGCAGGTTCAGTCACATATGGGCAAATTCAGCTTGCATAGATATAGATCTTGCACAACAAACCCACTTCCCCAAACGACCCACAGTTGTTCTGTGAGAAACAAAGTGTTTCTCTTATTGCATTAATATCCCACCTTTTCCTCCAAGGATATAATGGACTGACTGGGTGCACAGGAATGGTGGGAGGCACCATCCAGGGAACCCCCAAGGGAATCGCCAGGGGAAGAAGGCACAGAGCCAGGAGATTGGTGGTGGGACAGCAATGAGTGGACAGAGGGAAAAGACTGGGAGGAGGAGGTGTTGGAAGCTGAAGAGGTAACAGGGTTTAGTGAGCAGGAAGAGTCTGTGGCAGGGAGCAGTCCAAAATCAGATGCAGAAGCAAAGGCTGGACAGGAGTGTGGCCAAGAGGCAAACTGCTGAAGAAGCCAGGGAGTCCCTCCCTCCTGCTGTGACCAGCTCGCCTCCCCCCTGGTCTCCCAGAACACAAAGATTAGTGAAGAGGGCAGAGCAAAGAAATACAAGATGAAGTTAATAGTAGTAGTAGTAGTAGTAATATTTATACCCCGCCCATCTGGCTGGGTTTCCCCAGCCACTCTGGGCAGCTCCCAACAGAATAATAAAAACACAATAAAACATCAAACATTAAAAACTTCCCTAAACAGGGCTGCCTTCTAAAAGTCAGGAAGTTTTTTATTTCCTTGACATCTGATGGGAGGGAGTTCCACAGGGCAGGTGCCACTACCGAGAAGGCCCTCTGTCTGGTTCCCTGGTTCCTGCTTGGGAAGGATCTGGGGAGGAAAAGACTTAGGGAACTGTGGGAAGGTGGGAACCTTCAGTCTTCTCAGCTGCCTCATTGGGGCAAGGTCTACTGAGAAGAGTTGCTGTGCTCATTCAGCCTGAACTTCCCTTGTAAGTTTGTGACTGCCATTTGCTCCTCTGGGGAAAATGAAGCACTGCAACTTTTGATTCATTTGGTAGGGATAAAGCAGATTTGGAGTGAAGGTAACATTGGTTCAAGGGCCTGCAGGTTGCAAAATTAGAATGTGAATGAGATGAGATGTCTTGAAAATGCAATATAGTTTTTAAACTGGAACACCCTATGCGTGGGATCTCAGAACAAAAAGCTACAGCAAAAAGGCAGAGAGGAGACCAAGGATGAGGACAGGCACTTCCTAATCTGACCATCACTGCTGCCAGGGTTGCGCTATCAACAGAATGGGAAGTAATGAGACCATTTAAGATAGCAGTTGAACATAAAAGTTGTTACTCTGTGAGCAGAGTGAGACTAAAATGTGCTGAACTCGTTTAACACTTGCAGTATGTCTATTCTTAATGCATGAAGTTTCTGTAGTGTTCTGGGTAGGGTGGATTTGTGCATTCTCCCTCAAACAGACTTTCAGACTGTTTTTTTAATATATATATTTTCTTCTGAGCCCAGTCCAAATGTTAGTCATCGCCATCTGATTATCCACATGTGCTTTGCATTAAATAGCCTGTGTCAGAAAATCCGCAGGGCAGATGTTAAACGGAGGATTTGTTTTATGTTTACAGGTACGAAGATGGATTAAGAGCCCTATGGTGAGCATGGAAAAACATCAGGCCAGCAGCCTCAAATACCCGGGGTCCACTGTGATGCATATACCTCAAGGGGAGCCTGACATTGAGGCTCCGTTATGTCAGATGTGCTTCAGTGATCACACTTTTCCAAGAGGGATTGTCCCACAAGACACAGAATCTTGTTCCTGGGAAGACCACAGAAGCTGCAAAGTAAGCAAGATTCTTCCTCGCTTCTCACGCCACGTGCAGTTCTCCACTGTGATAAGAACATATTACACCTAGCTTTCTATGGGGTGAAATGGGGTTCCCTCTAAAGTGGTATAAGCTAGAGGAGATGTGAGCTAA